GTGCAGGTGGACTGTCAGCCCTAAGAGGTAAAATGAAGCCAAGTGGACAGGACACAAGGCAAGTGAGGAAAGGGCATAGCATCCCCAAGAGCCAGGAGCTGCCTGGTTCAGAGCCCAGTTCTTCACTTCCATGCAGTCTGTAGAGTTTCACAGCTGGTAGTCACCAGGTCATCTGCAGGACTGGTGAAAAGACTATAAACAGAGACCAACATTATAAATAAATAAATAAATAAATAAATGACCACCAGGACTGTGTAGTGATGACAAATTGCTCCTGAGGTGAGTGTCTGCACAGCTGGGTCCAGGAAGATGGCTGTCCCTGAGGAACACCGTGGGAGAGATCTGCCAAGCCCACCCTCTGTAACCTCTGACACCAGAAGGATATGATCCCCACCTGGAGTAAGAGCACTTCCCCAAGCAAGCTTTTCATTTTCTGGGCTCCAAAAACGACAGCCTCTGGGAGAGGAAAGTTCTTGATTTGGCAGTGCCAGCTGGTGAGAAAGGGGTCCCAATCTAAAAAATCTCTGAATTCAAGGCATCAGCCATGCATTCTCAGATGCCAGCTGGTTCACATGTGCAATGTCAGGAATGGTGGCTAAGGCAGGCGGGTGTGCAGAAGTGCACTGGGAGGGAAATCTGCCCTGACAGTGTACTCCCTGGAACCAGAGGGCTGCAAAGCCACCAGAAGTCATGCTCACAGAGCAGTGGGTGCTGTTCCCATGGCCCACGGCTGTGCAAGCCAAATTAGACTTGCCAGAAGGCACTCCCAACAGGCTTCTCTAAGATATGTGCTGGAGTCTGGGTAGCAGGGATCTCTGGATGAGATGTTTACTAGACAGACATTGGGAAAAGAAGAAAACATCTGGATTTGGGACTATAAAAGGGACAGTAAAGGGCTCCTACCAGCTTCTTCCTGTCTGCAAGTATCCATTTCCAAAGACAGAGAGAGAGGCTCTTTCTTACTGAGGAATGTCTTCTATTTCACAGGTGAGAGCTGGGGCAGATGTTACTGGACTCGCCTAATGCCCTGCTCTATCCACCCCCAATCCCCACACCCTCACGGTCAAAGGCATTAAAGTGACCAGGCTTAGTTACATGCCATCAGAGAATCTGTTAGCCAAGACCTATTGTCAGACTCTCCTAAACCCAATATGCTGGTTAACTCTTGGGGGAAATTAACTCTTTTGTGGGGGCTTTTCTAAGCAGACTGCATCAAGAATAGGCAAAGGCCAGGGTGCACATGTCCTGAAATCCAGGCTACTTCCCCCTGAGTCCTATCCTGCCCTCAGTTTCTGCCACTGTCTTCCTAGATGGCCCCTGTTCTCTGCCTGATTCTTTCTGGGAAACCTGAGTTCTACCTGAATGCCCATAATTTTAAATCCTATCAAGGGAGTAACAACTATGATTTATAAAGCACCTACTAGGGGTTAGGCATAAGCTGTTTTATTTAACTACTCAACAACCATATGGGAGAAGTATAATTATTACTCACATTTGAGATATCAAGGCTCAAAGACTCAGAGAACTAAAAACTTTCTCCAAGATTGAGACCCTGGGGAGATCTAAAATAAACAGGGATATTATTCCTCAGGCTCTCAAAGAGTGTGATCTGTAGCACTTGTGTGTGCATAAATATAAATTTGTGTGCGTGGTGTACATCTTTAAGGAAATGGAAGTCGGCTATGGAAGCAAAGGGCCTTAAGAAGATACAGTACTGCGTGAAACTGGTCAGAATGAAAAGGACAGATACAGAATGATCTCTCTCAACTGTTAGTCCTAACGGTACACAGTGAGATACAACAAAGATCTGTAGGCAATATAACAGGGGGACTGGTCCACCCAGTTAAGTTGGAGGGGGGATAAGAGAGAGGGTCCTTGGGGAAAAGATATTGGTACACTGGTGATGGCTGTGGTGTGGAATAGTTTGTTCATAACAAACCATTATTAATAGTATTGTAAACCAAAGATTTTAAAGTGTTTAAAAAGGACCTGATAAATTCCAGCTAGTTAATTCTATGCATTCTTCAAGGTAGAATTCTTCCTCTCTGCTCTGTGCAGTCTTCCCTGACTGTTCACTTCCATAGGTATTCCCTCGTTTTCCTAAAATCTGGAGACATCTGCTGTTTCCTAGCACATGAAATACTGCTACTCCTCTGCCTCTTCAGGACAGGTCCTAAGGGAGTGGGGTGGTGGTTTCTAATTTTTATAAATTTCTGAGACTGGAGCAATAGTACAGCAGGTAGGGTGTTTCCCTTGTACTGACAGAACCAGGTTCAATCTCTGGCACCCCATATGATCTCCCAAGCGTAATTTCTGATTTCAGGGACAGAAGTTACCCCTGAGCATCTCCAGGTGTGTCCTAAAAACATAAACAAAAACAAAAAAATGATTTTTTAAATAAATTTCCTTGGTACCTAGAATAGGATGAAAACATTGCCCTGAGAGAAATACGAGCTCATGTGAAGCCTTGGTTTCCAAATCCCACTAACTTTTCACAATGCAGATTGAGATATCCAACCTCCAAGAAGCTTTTCTGACCACAACCAACTGGTCGTGAGCAGGTTCACTTCTGAAAGTGCCTACAGCAGTTCAGTAAATCAAACTTTTATGCCAGATTCCAACAGGTCTACTCTAAATTCCAATTCTGAACTAGACAGTGTCCAAGCACACCCTCGAGGCTTCAGTTTCTGTTCTTTACGAAGTGAGTGAATGCAGCAGTGAGCTGCTACCCTGCATTTGATCCACACATAGGACATGCCACACCATTCTGACATCTCCTACCACCTCTGTGGGAAGCATTTACACACACACACACACACACACACATCTCTCTGAACCATCTCAAGCGGAATTTAGCAGTCATTTTCAATGCAGCTACCTCACAGATTAACAGAAAAGAATCCCCACTGGACCAGGCAGATTGTGAGAACGTGGTCAGCTCAGCTGTTAACAAGCCTCCCTCCACACTGTAAGTGACTCTGATAGGTGCTCACCAAACTCGGAATTTCTTCCAGATTATCTTTCTATCCGCAGAATTCTATCCATCAAATCTTGAGTTTCCAAAGACACAGGTTCCAAAGACATACTTCCAGACCAGTGGTTCCCAATCTTGTCTGGACTGGAATGATATGAATGTCTGCATGCAGCCCCTCGAGATTCTGACCTCAGGTTGGGATGTAACCAGCACATCAAGACTTCTACATTATGGCAGAGAACTTGCACAGCAATTTGCTGAACAGCATACTGCTCCATTTGGAGCTCCATTCCCACTTTCCTGAATGTCTCTGGCACTTCCACATAAGCAGCTAGGATTCTGGCTGTAACAAACTGAGCTTCCAACTAAGAATGATTTTATAGAAATGATTCTATGGTTTACCAAAAAAAAAAAATTGGGCTTGCAAACAGTCACTCTAGCCTGTCAGTAAGAGCCTGAAAGTTCAACAACTTGGTTTTTATTTGCTTTTGAGTCCAGCCCAGGATCTTACTAGTGGTAGAGGCTTGATAAATGATTTTGGAAGACAAATCATTTCTTTTGTTGTTGTTGTTATCTGGCTTCCATTAACTTTTCAGTTGCCTAGCATAACAAGCCAATAGTTTCTTAAACAGCTAAGCCCCAACAGCCTGCGTCTGTCTCCAGCCTCCAACCTGAAGCAGAGACTCAAGCAGACAGCCATCCCTGACATTTCTTCTGGGGTCACATACACTCCGGACGTTCCTAATGACTGATAAACATAAGCAAGTGTGATTTTCATCAGCCAGGAAGAGTGTGACATTTGTCAGCAGCAGCAGAGGGCTTTGGGGGCTCATATTTGGATTATTCTGTCTGCAACTGTCAGACTGAAAGAGCATGATGAAAAATGTGTAGGACTTTGTAGTAAACACTAATTGGCTCCTTGTCAGTATGTTGGAAGAATAACGACAAGAAAAAAATCTTCAGGTTGCCAAAACACACAAGCCAGAATGCCTGCAGCCTAGGCAGGTGGCCTATTGTGGCCTATTCCCCAGGAAACTCCTGGAGTTTTCAACCATGGCCAATGAGAAGGATGGAGGTCAGTGGTGGAGCGTTCTGTGGCTTTAGGAATCTGGCACTAACCACTTCAACCTTCAACTCCTCCTGGCCCTTTGCTAACTCTTCACACAGGAGCTGTGTGGCCTGGGGAAACGCTGCCCCATTTCTCTGGGCTTCCATTCCCTCGTTTCTAAGATGAGGGGGTTCCCATGTGTCCGCAGTTCTGTGAGCATAAATGATAAGACCTGGGCATACTACAGAGCAGGCCTTCAGGAACCTCTGCGATGATAACTCTGCCACTCAGGTCAGAGTTTCAACACCAAAATCATGTATTTTTCCTTTTCACATGTTTTGCCAGTTTGATGTCCAAACCCGCTGGGCAGCCAGTGTGAGCTTAGGGACTTACCTCTGGGATGGCCTTTTATTCCTGCTGTTTTGCCCTACCTATGGCAAACACCGGGGTGTCCGGGAGGGTTCAGAGTAGGCACAGATGTTTATGGGATAGAGACCAGAAGGAAAGTCACTGAGATGGATAATGTGGTCTGAAAAGACCCCCTCCTCTCACTCTTTTCTCCCACCCCTCTCATGGACCCCTCATGGTTTTCAGTGTCCAGCTGTCAGAATTGTGGCTGTTTGACCTCATTTGCTTTTAGTTATTGATATGCTGCTTATGAGTGAATCCATTCCTTTCCTGAACTTTCACGGGGGGGGGGGGGGGAGAAAGAGAGAGAGAGAGAGAGAGAAAGAGAGAGAGAATGCATTCTTAGAAGTGCTTCACTTTAAAGACAGTTCAGAACCGCAGTGGAGCGTGAGTAACCTCAAGGCCTTCAATGGCTGCAAAATAAATCAAACCATCAAAGAAACTAGTGGAGCCAAGAATTCCTCCCCACCCTGCAGAAGCAGCTCGGGGGGCCCCGGGCGGCCTGTGGCGCAGAGCAGCACGCGGGGCACGTGCGCGGGAGAGCGGGATGGGGACAGGGAGCGTCTGTACCTTCTGTCCACTGCAGGGTCGCGGCCCCGCGCCTGGGCGGGGTGCCGGCTGCCCCTCAGCCCGGGGCCCTGGCGGCGGGCGGCCCTGGCCGGGGTGCGGGGCTCCTCGCGGCTCCGGTGCAGCGGCACCGACGTGCGCAGCGCCGACACCACGTGGCCGCCCGCGAAGACGGGCGCGGGCGGGGCGGGCGCGCCGCGGCCGCGCGCGCGGTACCCGGGCAGGCAGGGCCGCGTCTGCTCCATCACGCCGCCGCTGCAGCTGCGCGAGCAGGCGGACCAGGGGCCCCAGGGGCCCCACACGCCCGGGGCCGCCCCGCCGTCCTCCAGTGCGTCCTCGGCCGCCTCCGTCCGCTGCGGGACCTGCGGAGACAGAGGTGGGTTAGGGGACTGCACGCCGTCTCCTACCGCGCCCCCGAAGCCTCATCCGTGGGGCAAGACAAGATGCAGATAACGGTGGCCGGCGTTATCGTCTATACTGAGCATCATTATTTCGTTTTCCTCTTTCTTGTCTGATAGTTTTGGTTTGGGGGCCACACCCGCGATGCTGGGGGGGGGGGGGTGCGGTGTGACTTCTGGCTCTGCACTCAGGAATTACTGCTGGCGGGGCTCAGGGGACCACACGGGGTGCCAGGGATCGAACCCAGTGGGTGGGTGCAAGGCAAGTGTCCTCCCCACCGTACTCTCTCTCCAGCCCTAATTTTTCTAATAGAGGAAAGGACAGTCCACCGAAGCCTTGGGGGTCTGGGTGCATGACTCTGAGACCTCCCAGGTGGATGTCCCCACCGCTTCCTGGGGCTGCCGTGCAGAATCCATCCTCTGCCCCCAACCTGTTCCTGGAGCAGCTCCTGTTAGACAGGCCCAGGTCCTGGGGCGCCCCAAGTCAGGGTCCCTGCTGCTCCTCCCACCACTGCTTGGCCATCTCTGAGTGACCTTTATGCATCCGTGGGGTTCCCAAGAGTTCAGCGGTAACTTCAGCAGGACGAGAGAGAACTAGAGCAACCGCAGAATAAACAAGTATCTAACCGGGGAATGAAGGTGTCAGAAGGTAAATCTAGAGTAGCCAAAGTGGGAGAGGGATCAGCGGTCAGAGGTCAAGTGGGGTAAAAATCTGTTGGACAAGACAGAGTGAGGGAGGGAGGCTCTGGGTGACAGCTGGTGGCCCTGGTGAGGGGGCAGTTTCTTCCTCAGGTCTATGACACAAAACACACAGAATAAACCTTTGTGGGGTTTTCTGGGTTTTTTGTTTTTGTTTTTTTGTTTTGTGTTTTTGTCCTGATGCATCAGACTGATGGTGGATTCAGCAGAGATGACTGGGAAATAATGCGCCCAGCCAGACCACACTCTTGGCATCTAAAGTAAGCCCTGAAGTGTGTGTAGTTGAAGGGATGACCTGTCCCCAAGGGTACACCCATGTTCTAATCTGGAACTTGTCAGTTGACCCGATTTGGAAAAAAGTCACTGCAGATGTAATAAAGTTAAGGATCTTGAGATCACCCTGGATTTGGGGGGCAGAAAAAAATATCTTGAATTCCATGACAAATGACCTTCTAAGATGCAGAAGAGAAGGTTGAGGAGAACACCTGAGAAACTGAGGTCAAAACTGGAGATCGGCCCCCAGACGGATACCAGGAGCCACAAGAGGAAAGAAACAAGGGGTTTCTCTAGTACCCTGAAATAGGCGCTGGCCCCTGAACTTTGGACCTCCTGAATTATTAGGGAATAATCAGTAGTTTTAAGCCTTCCAGTTTGTGGTGGTATGATGCGACAGCTCTGGAAAGCAATATGGTGTGTTTGTTCTGCCAGGACACAGAAAAAAATGGGTCTGGCAGCACCATGAAGGTAGAAATTTTTTAAATTTATTTATTTTTTACTTGACCCCAGTGAGATACACAGTTACAACGTTGTACATGGTTGGATTTCAATCATATAACGTTCCAATAACCGCTCCTTCACCAATGTGTGTTTCCCGCCACCTATGTCCCCCCAGTTTCCCCTCCCACTTCCAAAGGTAGAAATTAAGAATGAAAAAGATGAAAAATCCAACACCTGTAAGCTGAATAAACCACAGCTTTAAAACAACTGAATCAAAGAGGAAATCAAAAAAGGAAATAAAATTCCTTGAGAGTAATAAGAATGAAGAAACTACCAAGGGTGTCCACTTCTCCACTTGTATCCAATACAGTATTAAAAGTTCAAGAACTGAAATCAGGCAAGAATAAATTTTTAAAAAGTGATTCTAATTGAAAAAAATTCAAATTATCATTATTTGCAATGGTATAGTAATATACAGACAAGACCCTAAAAAGTCCATTTAAAAAAAAAGCACCTGGAAATAATAAACCAATTCAGCAAAGTAGCTGGCTACAAAGTCAACACACAAAATTGGTCTCATTCCTAAATGAAAGTAATGAGCTAGAAGAGGAAGAGATCAAAGAGTCTGCTCCACTCAAAATACTCCATTTAAAAATATAAAGTACCTAGAAATCAAGAAAATATGTGAGAGATCTATACTATGAAAATTAGGTTACTTATGAAAAAGATAGATGATAGCAAGAAATGGAGAAATAATCAATGTTCACAGATTGGCAGAATTAATATTGTCAAAATGATAATCCTACCTAAGTTGTTACATAGATTCAATGCAATCCCCATCCAAATGCCAATGAAATTCTTTGACTTACCCACTTCTCTGAAGACAGGCCACTATACACATGAAAAAGTGCTCATCATCACTTATATCAGGAAAATACAAATCAAGATGGCAATGAGATATCATCTCAGACAGTGAGAATGGCACACATTAAAAAAAAAAACCTGAAAACACTCTGTTGGTAGGGATGTGATGAAAAAGGAACTCTTACACACTGCTGGTGGGGATATTGTCTGTTTCAACCCCTATGGTAAAGCAGTATGAATATTCTCAGAAAAATAAGAACAGTGCTGCCATATGACCCAGCATTTCCATTTCTTGGTATCTATCTCCAGGACACAAAAATATTCATTTAGGAGCTGGAGCGATAGCACAGTGGGTAGGGCATTTGCCTTGTACACAGTCAACCCAGGTTGAATCTCCAGCATCCCATTATGGTCCCCTGAGCACCGCCAGAAGTAATTCCCGAGTGCAGCCAGGAGTAACCCTGTGCATTGTCAGGTGTGACCCAAAAAACAATATATATATATATTCTCTCAGCTCCTGGGAGAGAACAAGGCAGAGTCTCCTACCCTATGCCTGACTGTCTCCACCAGGGCCCAACAGCTGAAGACCACCGAGGCCCAGCCAAGGCCATGCTGGGACCACTCTCCACACACTTGGATGAGCCTCACGCATAAAAGAACTGACAGAGGAACCCAGGTGTGTGGGACCCGGGGCTGAGATCTCCAAGCCTGCACAGTTTGGGACTGGACCTGCCAGTAACTAGACAGTTACACCCACCAACTGCCGTGTAACTCCAACAACGGCCAGGATCCAGAGATCATCACACTCAGCTCCCGCATTCGCGGCCGCGCGACATCTTATCATCTCATTCCTAATTTGGTCAAACTGGCAGGCTACCAAATGTAACATGCCCACACGGCAGAGTCTGGCAAACTCCCCGTGGTATACCCAATATGCCAAATACCAGTAACAATGATGGGTCTCATTCTCCTAACCCTGAAAAAGCCTTGAATATGGCACTTTAAAAAAAAAAAAATCTCAGGGCTAGGACGAAGAAGACGTTACTGGCACCTGCTCGAGGCAATCGACGAACAACAGGGTGGTCGTGATCGTGATATATATATTTAAAAGGATATATGTACACCACTATTTATTGCAACATTCAGTACAATAGCAAGGATGAGGATAATGAAGGTGTGGTGCACACACACAGACACACACGCACGCACACACTTGATGAAATACTATGCAGCTGCAAGGAATGATGAAATCATGCAATTTGCTGCAACTTGGAGGGAATTAGAGGATATTATGTTAAGTGGAGTATGTCAAAAGTAAGACAAATACCAGATGATCTCACATGTTGTATATAAAACACATCAAGGAAAAGAAAAGTATCAAAAGGGAGAGATCTAGATTGCCCTGGATGCTAAATTCTAGAAATAAGAAAAACAGAAAAGGAAAGAAATTGGAGTAGGCAGCGAGTAAGAACAGGGACAGGAGCAGGGACCTTGGATACATTGGTGGTATCGAGATGTGGCATATGGGTATATCTAAACCACAGGAGATTCAAAACTACAACAACCAAACTTAAAAATGTGCTTGTCAAAAAGTCCGGTTAGGGGTGAGAGGGAACCTGGGGACAGTGGTAGAGAGGGATATTGATACTGGTGATGGGATTGGTGCTGGAACACTGTATGCCTGAAATTCATGAATAGTTTTATAAAAACAAAATATTTAAATTTAAAACAAAAAGAAACAGTGGCCTGGTGTTACTGGGCACCCTGTCCATGTCCATGTCCAGCACTGTGTACAAGTGTATGAGGAAAGGCTCAGTGACAAAACCTTCCTCCCCACACCCCACGCCCCTACTCCAGGTTATACTTTCCAGGGTCTTTCCACCACTCTGTGAAGTTGTTATGAATTTGCCCTTTTTCCTGGAAGAATATGAGGCCCTGGGAGATGGTGTGTAGAGCCTGGGGTCAGGTTGCTGTGGGCACAGGCAGGATTAAACCCAAGGTTGCCAACTCCTGTACTAGGCTGTTCCTTCCCAGCATGTTGCCCCTTGCCTGTGTTGCTGGTGACCATCAGAGGGGTAAACTGCATAGAAATAACCCCACTCTGATCATTCCCACCAAATGGGTAATTTGGATTAAATAAGCAACAACAGAAGTGTGTTTCTGATACAATGGTAGATTTCAGTGCCCCGCAGTGTCTTGATTTCTCATTTGCATAGGTAAGTAAGATGCTGCCTATAGTATTTGGATTAATGCAGTGACACTAAAAACGTGCTTCCTATAACTAATCCCACCCTTATTGTAGTTTCCGATTGCCAAATTGGGTAGGTTCTCTGGGGGAAGGAAACTGAAACCACATTGCATCTGATTCTATTCATAAGACTCCTCTAATTTGGCCTGAATTATGGTGAGTGACTTGACATTCCATCTCAGTCCCCCTGGTGGGACCCTAACCACATGCTCTAAAAGTGGATTTTCATAATACAGAGCCAGAAACAAAGGGGGGTGGAGGAGAACGGAGCAAAGAAGAAAGGGGGTACAGAAAAAGAGAAACAAGTCCTAGGGAACACGTAAGGAGGGCTCTAGAGGCTGTCTATTGAGTCACTGAGCCTCTCGTCCTCTCCCCATACCCCCCAGCCTCCAAATGACCCTTTCCTACTTCTTTCTAACAGCCAAGTAGTTTTCAG